GACGCTCCTCGTCTCTCACGATTGGCGTCGGGGAGACCGTCGTCGCCGCCGCCGCCGCCCGCGCGACTTCCACTTTCGCCGTCGCATCCGCCATTGATGTTTGAAGCCAGCAGGTCCGAGTGAGCCCGTCTTCCCCGCCACCACAGGCCGGACAGCGCTCCCCGTGCGAGCGTGCTCTCCTTCCGCCCCCTGTTCGCTTCTCCTCCGCCATTGCCTCGCTTCTCCACCGTCGTCGTAGCCTCTGCTCTCGGCTTCGATCCGGTGAGTCCATGTCCACTTGCATCTTCTTCACCACTAGGATTTCTCGATCCGCCAAGGTTTCGCTCGCATCTCTGCAGGTGACACCATTGTTTCTTTGTAGATCTTTGGGGATGCTGTTCTCCGCATCCTTCTCTCTAATCTCGCGTGTGTGGACCTGGAAAAGAGCCATGTCGGGGAGGTGGGGCTCGGCCACTTTGGCTTCACCTGCACCGCCAGGGCCAAGAAGGGCGAGCATAAGGTCTAGGACAACATCGTCAAGTTCATATCCAAGGTCAAGATGCGAGCATCTATCAGCGTTTTCTTGTTTGCTTTGCTATTTATCCAAGATTACTTGTGATGGTTTTGATTTTTTGAGGGGATTACTCAAGATTTTCAGAGGCATTGAGTTGGGTATGGCTGCCCATTTGCTACCTTTACTTGAAACATCATTCATTCAGGAAATAGTAGTTCCCCATCTAGAAATATTAGAATAAAAAAGTCATCACTATAGGATCTTGATCATTCATTTATCTTCCATGGTATTATAAATTGCTACAAAATGGACATCATGCTTAGCCACTAATAATCCTCGATGATTTTGCCGATAATATAATCGTGGATGGCTCATCTCGTCTAGAACATAATTGGATATATCTACAAAGAACTGGGAGAATAATTGGGTATATCCCAACCAAAGAAAGAGATGTCTTAGGAAAAGGACTTGAACTGGGTATATCTACAAAGAACTGGGCGAATAATTGAGTATAATTGGGTATATCTACAATGTACGTAGTTATCTGTTTTATGGCTCAGTTTGTTCATCCAGTAAATGAAGGAACTCTTGTTTATCAGTTTGGACAATGGTTTGCAAGTTTGGATTGACATTAAGTAAACTTCATGTTTTGCCTGTACAAGATATTTTGCTGTTAACTGAATGATCTTGAATGACATGTGTTGTTAACTGAGTGATCATTCTGTTAACTGAGTTTTTCCTTGTGTTTACTTGCCGTGCTCTTGGTTGAAGCAATGCATGATTAGAGGCACTTGAATTCAAGAGTGTTTCTGATTCAGGTTCATTCAGCATTTAGCACAGTTCTGAATGTTTTCCAATTATTGATTTGCCTATCAGAACTATTAGCTTCATTGTTTGGTTTGTTTTCCTGCTTGTATAAAGATTATTTTTACCCGATCTAGATGATGCTTGTTTTAAAAGTGCTTTAGTTAGATTGTATCAGTAGCATTAGTGCACCATCATGTGTCCAAAAGTCTGGTTTGTAGCCAGCAGACCGGTGGCAACCTCAGATTCCTGTGGACATCGCTTTCCCGATGCAAACACTATATCAGAGCTTATATTAGGCAGCAGCAATGCCTTCCATTATCATTTAGATATTACATATTAGTGTATACTTATTTTGAACATCTTTTTGCTGTTGCACAATGATTGCCAGGTGGTCAAAATGCACTTTTGGTCATCATTGTTGGAGCAGATTAGTGTACACTTATTTTAGTGTTGGTAAAGTTAGTAACTTAGTATGAAGTATCGCATTCCTCTTTTTTCCTGTGCCAGCAGCCTAGCCATGGTTGGTTTCCTAAAGCTGTCTAGAAAAGTAGTTGAACCAACAATTTCACCCTGTTTTATAGCAAGTATTGTAGTTTCTTTAAAATAAGTAGTAGGTTCGAGGCATACCTAGAGGCACCAGGCCCATGTTTATTTGGAGGAAATACCAAAGGCCCATGTTTGATGTTGCAATCACAATCACACCCTCTCAAGATTAGAGTGGTGAACCCCAGTGAATTTTTATTATTCATATCAATCTATAGGTCCTTTTCTTATTCATATATATACTATAGTATTGTTATTGTTTCCTGCTTTCTTTTAATTCTAGGAATCACTAGCTTTGTTAGGTTTGCATCGTCTTAGGAATTGCTTCTAGTTATACGAGACACTTACTTGAGTACTTTACATACAACCCCAGTGACTATTGGCACTGCACTGTCTCCACATGTTTCCTGAATCATCGGTAGATGGTGGAACGGTAGTGTGATGATGTAGCTTTACCATTACAGTTAGCTGCTGGTGAGATATCACCTCGCAGTTCAGAACACTACATTGTTCTGCTGCGTATTCTTGTAACTCACCATTTCCTTTGTGTTACTTGTAGAGGACTTGGCGGAAGCAACACATGATCAGAGAAAAATAAGTTTGTTCCCTTCTTCATCACAAGCATCTGATAAAATGTTCAAGCTCGTAGCGAGATTTCGCTCCTCGTAACTCGTTAATTTTTATATACACGCACCTACTATTTGTCCATTTTTTTTATGCTACAGGCATCTATGTAATATAATATTGGTGTCTATGAACTGGAGGACCATAATTTATTCTTGTGTCAAAGTTTTTGGTCAAGAAATTAATATCCTGTTTTATTTTTTGTTATCTATCTAGATACGTGGATGGAGATGACTACTGATATTTCTGTGGACGCCACATATTAGCTTTGTTGGAAGATGATACTTGAATAGAACTTCTAAATTAATAGACTAGCTTTGTTTCAGGTTTGAAATATCTATTTATTTGTATGGAAAGTCTTGTCCCTGACTTTTTTTCATGATTTTGTGGATTTTTTTTCTGATTTTTTGAGACATATACGGCCTGTTCGGTTGGCTGGTTCGTATCGTTGTTGGTTTGTTTATGTGAGAGAAAAGTACTGCTGGCTGATTCAGGTAAACAGTACTCATGTGAGGGGGCTGGCCAGCCCAGCTAGCCCCAGCCAACCCAGCGATCATGCTGACAGTACTTTGCTTCAATTGTGCGGTCATTTTTACCAAACACATTCTTGGATTGTTATATATTATACTATACTATATAAAACAGCAGTAGGAAACTCATACTAAAACAGCAGTATGCCAACAGCAGGGAAATTCTCCCATACGTGAATACCTCCCCAGAGTGGAGGCGGGAATGAGAAATCCAAAAAAAACCACGGCGGGGGCAAACTTCTCGGGACTAATTTGCCTCTGCTGCCAAAGTAGCCCTCAGAGTGACGCCCCGCGCCCGGCCCGGCCGGCCCCCATGTGAAAAGAAACGAGAGATCAGATCGATCGATGCACTACTGCCGGGGGTAATTGAATGAGAGCATGTGAAGCCTGGGTCACGTCCGATCCTTCTTCGCTGCACTACTGCCGGACGCCGGACGGTCGCAGTAAAGAAGGTTTGGTTGGTTACCATTACCATGCATGGCGCGCTGGCGTTACAGCGGCAGAAGCAGCAACTGCAGGAGGCAGCAGCAAGTTATCATCAGTTTCAAACCGGGGGCTGGCCGCTACCTGTTTCAGCTTCATTACATACCTGTGCAGCCTGCACACTCCCTGCAGTGGCCGGTCTCACGGCATGGCGGGGGGCCACGGGTTGAAGAAGGGTCGCCCAACTACTGTTCCACTGGCGCTGTCTTCATAGCAACGGGGCCGTCTCTACAGTTACGTTCCTGACTTGTGATCCGGCGTGTACCCTGAGAGAGTGAGAGAGACGGCGTCCATCTGTGTTGATGGCCGATGGGGTACCACCTTGGCATAGCAGCACTGTGCTGTTGTTTCCGTATCCATTTGTTACAACCTCAGAGGCTCAGACAGGGAGCAGCAGGAATCCCGTACGGTACACAGTTGGATTAAGAATCTTAATCAAGCATTGCAGGTACAATCATACGCCCCACTAATAAGCCATGGCTAAAAATATTGTTGGCTGATTTGTTGTGAGAGAAAAATAATGTTCGTTTGTTGAAAAAGTACGGCTTATAAACCAAACGATGAACATTATTTTTCTCGTACAATAAATCAGCCAATAATACTTTCAGACATGGCTTATTAGGCAATACTCCGATTTAGGCAATTTGTTGCGCATCGATCTGACGCGACACGAAGGCGCAGCATGAGACTTGTGTTTTTGTATAATCATTCAACACACTGTGGATGGATATGATGTTTTCGGCGTCCCTTTGCCTCTGCCTTGATCCTTGAACGCCACCACACGTGCCATCGATCCTGTTCGCTTGATTCGTTACTATGGTTTATAAACCAACTGATACTGTTTTATTGTAAGAGAAAAACACTATATTATAGCTGATAAGTACAGCTGATACGAAGTGAAGAGGGTGAGTACTCACTGCTCGTACTATCAAATGGGCATTCAAATAGCCCAGCCACATGTATCGATCTACTAGTGATACATTCCAAAAAAGAACAATGTTTTTGCATGCACTGTTGCACTTGCATATGAATGCTGATAGCTTGGTCCGCCGGAGAGGAAATCATTTAACATTGTTATTTTTGGACATGAGATGACAACCAATATATAAGATCGACCAGATCGATCATGCAATAGCTAGTACGTACATTTTTTTATCAAATCAAGAGAAAAGAAAAATGAGAGAAAGCTAAAAACACAGTACTACTATTAAAAATTAATAGCACAGGGAACACTAGAAAAATTTTATGGTATTGTGACAGCATCGTGCGTTGCATCCACATGAATCACATCCATCTGCCCCGGCCGTACGTACGTGTCCATCCAGCCATTCGTCAACCAACCAACAGCTAGGATGACCTTCACCGTGGAGTAATTAATAACTGTAATTTAATTATACCGCCGCATGCCATGCAATGCACCGCACGACACGCACGTACACGTGGCAGCAACTTACCCAGCCAGAGAGCCCAGAGCAGCCAGAGTAGTAACTTGTAGTAATTTTTTTTTTAAACTTTCACCATCACTCCGCCGTGGCCGTCGCCGTCGCCGTCGCGGCGGGGTGGTTCCGCTCGACGAAGGCAGCGCGGAGCGGGTTCTTCATGACGACAGTGAACGCGAACGTCTCGGTGGGATCCGGCGGTCCCTCGCCGGCGGGGGGCGTCCACCGGAACGCGCGCACCATGTTGGCGAGCATGAGCTGGATGTGGAGCACGCCGAGCGTGGCGGCGGGGCAGATGCGCCTGCCGGCGCCGAACGGCATCATGCGCAGCGCGCGGGTGCCCGTGATGTCGGTGTCGAAGCCCTCGCCGCCCTCCAGGAACCGCTCGGGGCGCCAGGCCTCCGGGTCCAGCCACGTCGCCGGGTTCTCCGTCACCCACGCCGTGTAGAACTCCACGCTGGCGTCGGCGGGCACGCGGTACCCGCCCAGCTCCGTGTCCCGCGTCGCCGCGTGCGACAGCACGAAGTGGCTCGGCGGGTGACGCCGGAAAGTCTCCTTCACCACCGCCTGCACATGCACCAGGGAAATTAAAACGGTCGTCGTCGTCGGCGGCGGCGGCGAGAGGGACCAACATGCCCCTGGGAATGTGCGTGCGCGCGCGTGCGACCATCGCTTTCGGTTTTCAGCTATATACAGTTGTGGTATTAAAACCCAGGAATCTTGAAAGCACGTCGTTTTCATGACGGATGAACACTAGCAAATCACTTGTTGTAGTTCTAGAAGCACATCACTGATTATTGCTTGCTATGGACAAGGGTTTTAATTTCGGCGTCAACTGTTCCTAATTAGTAGCCGCAATTTTGTTCGGACGTCGGAATCAAGTACAAAAAAACATCATTTTAATTAAGAGACTCGTTTTACGCCGTGTTTAGTTGAAGGGCAAATTCCAAAAAGTTGCTACAGTACCTGTCACATCGAATGTTTGCGGCCCGTGCATGGAGTATTAAATGTAGACGAAAAGAAAAACTAATTACACAGTTTGGTGGGAAATTACGAGACGAACGTTTTAAGCCTAATTAGTCAATGTTTGGACACTATTTACCAAATAAAAACGAAGGTGCTACAGTAGCCCCAAAATCCAAAATTCGCGAACTAAACAAGGGCTTAGTTGCTGACGGATGAACCAATGTACAGTAATATCACTAGTCAGCTATCACTGTCTGGTGTGACTGTCTTTCAGATAAAAGCGAATGTGAAGCCGTCTATCTATTTGCTACCTAGTAGCTACCAGTACCAAGGATAGATCTCGCATATGCATTTGGGATCGATCTCGCATATGCATCTGTACAGTCAACAGTGAAAGCCTATCCATCTGCAATTTCGTATCCAATGCAGCTACCACTTTCGCGTAGCTGGTTGGTTTCTCAATTAGTTGGACTGACTGATGGTTTACTACGAGAGAAAACACTGTTAATTGGTTGGTTTGGGCTGACTTTTTTTTTTGAAAACCAGAAGAATTTTGTATTTACTACTCGCATGTGCAAATTGAATTAGTGTAGGAGTATACCTGTTCGTTTCTCTGGTTTCTCGTCTTTTTCAGTTTGATTTTTAGCCGAAACAGTGTTTTTATCTCACAGTAAATATTTCGTCTTAGGCCCCATTTAGATTCATTTTTTTTGGTTGGGCTACCGTAGCACTTTCGTTTGTATTTAGCAATTAGTATCTAATTATGGACTAATTAGATTCAAAAATTTCTGTCTCGTCATTTCTCACTCAACTGTGCTATTAGTTTTTTTTCGTTACATTTAGTACTCCATATATGTGCCGCAAGATTCGATGTGACAGGTTCTGCGCAAAAAAAAAAAAATTAATCTAAACGGGGTCTTATTTTCTCCGTGAAGCGAACGAAGCCTATATATATATTGCGACATTTGTGCCAAACTCCTATGACATTCTCGTGTTCTAAACAATGTATCTTCCAATGTGTGTGTGTATTTTATCGAATTCCAATGTTGTTTGGAACATCCGTGTCGTATAGAATCGAAACCGCAACCGAAATGAATGTAAAGAAAGGATATCAGGAAGTTCAGTAGAAAGAACTAGTGTTACCTGGAGGTAGGGCATGGCCTCGACGTCGGCTTCGGTGATCCGGGCAGTCTTGCCGGCCCTGGCGACGACCTCGTCGTAGAGGCGCTCCTGCGCGGCGGGGTCGAGGATGAGGTGCATCATGGCCCATTCCAGCGCGGTGGCGCTGGTGTCGGTGCCGGCGCTCATGACCTCGGAGCAGAGCGTGACGAGCTCCTCCTCGCCGAGGCGCTTCCCGCGGCCGGGCGGCACCAGGTCGAAGAGCGAGTCCACGTACGCCTCCCCGGGCCCGCTCATCATCTCCACGCCGTCCTTCGCCGCCGCCGCCGCCCCCTTGGTGCCGTCGCGGAGGAAGTCCCTCCGCGCGCGGACGAGCGGCGCGAGGCAGCCGAGCTGGCGGCGGCGCAGGGCGCGGGCCTCGGACAGCTGCTTCCGGAAGAGCGGCGTGAGGAGGGGCAGGAAGTCCGGGAGCTTGGGCAAGGAAATCATCATCACGTCCTTGAGCACCTCCTCGATCTCCCGGATCAGCTCGTCGGGGATCTTGGCGCCGAAGCAGATGCAGATGAGGATGCTGCAGATGGTGAGGCGGCAGCTGGCCATCACCCTCACCGCGCCTTCCGCGGCGAGCTCCGCGCGGAGGCGGCGCAGGTGCGCATCCACGGCCCATTCCCGGATCCATGAGAAGGACTTGACGCGGTGCGGGGACACGATCTCGGCGACGAAGTTGCGGCGGAGCGCGCGCCACAGCGGGCCGTAGGGCGCCGAGTTGACGGTGCACTTGCCGACGCTGAAGAGGAGGCGGATGGGGCTGTCCTCGGGCCGGCTCGCGAACATGGGGCCCTGCTTCACGAGCGCCTCGTGGATGAGGTCCGCCGAGGTGACCACGATCAGGGTGCGCTGCCCCATCCGCATCGTGAAGATGGGGCCGTACCTCTCCCGGAGGTCGCGCACCACGTACATGAAGGGACGCCGCTGCAGGATCACCTGGAACAGGTTTCCCACCACCGGCCAACCCGGCGGACCCGGCGGGAGCCCGTCGACGCCGCCGGTCTTGGAGCATCGGCGCCACCACATGGCTCCCAGCGCCGCCGCCAGCACCACCAGCAGCACGTCGTTCACATCCATCGATGATCTCTCTCTCTCTCTCTCTCTCTGTCTGTTCTTGGCTGCGCCGAGCACTACCACCACCGCCGCTCCACCAGCCGGCCAGCCAGAAATGAACCAGCTAGCTGTCTGTCAGCGTGGGTTTACTGCTGCTACTGAGCTGAGCAGTGAGCAATGGCGGTTGGGGAGGGCAGTGGGTGACTGGGTGGTGGAGCTAGCTCTATATAGCGGAGGAGCAGCGAGGGGGAGCTCGGGCTCGTAACGTGGCGGCGTAAATGCGCGCCATCTACCATCTGAAAGGGGGCCATCAATGCTCCTGCGTGTCATTCAATGTGGGAGCTCGGAGAAAACCAGCAGCACCCATGGCGCGCCCGCGCGCGCTCACACAGAGCCTTTTGGTACAGATTTCGGGGGCTCCGGCTTCTCTGTTACGGGGCCTTGTTTAGATTACCGTTTTTTCACTTTCTTTCCATCACATCAAATTTTGGACACATGTATAGAGCATTAAATATAGGTAAAAAAAATAACTAATTACACAGTTTGGTTGTAAATCACGAGACAAATCTTTTGAGCCTTTAGTTAGTCCATGATCGGACAAAGTTTGTCAAATACAAACAAAACGTGCTACAGTGTCCAGATTGCAAAAATTTGCAATCTAAATAAGGCCCGGAATCCATTCTTCTCTCTCCCTTCTTCCCCTCTCAGGCGCCACGTTTAGGTCTTGTTTAGATTGCAAATTTTTACGATCTGTACACTATAGTATGTTTCATTTGTATTTGACAAACTTTATCCGATCATGTACTAACTAGGCTCAAAAGATCCGTCTCGTGATTTACAACTAAACTGTGTAATTAGTTATTTTTTTTACCTATATTTAATGCTCCATGCATACGTCTAAAAATTGATGTGATGGAAAGAGAGTGAAAAAACTTGAAATTTGAATGCAATCTACAGCCTGTTCGCTTACTCGTAAACGATCGTAAATTTCCAGCCGGGAACAGTGTTTTTCTCTCACACCAAATCAGCCAGCAGTAAATAATCCACGATACGATACGGCCTCCCGAACAGGCCGCTAAACAAGGGCTTAGTTTCAAAAAGTTTTTTCAAAAAGTGTTACAGTAGTCATCACGTCGAATCTTACGATACGTGCATAGAGCATTAAATGTAGACGGAAAAAAAACTAATTACACAGTTTGGTGGAAAATCACGAGACGAACGTTTTGAGCCTAATTAATCCATAATTAAACACTAATTACCAAATAAAAACAAAAATACTACTCTAACCAAATTACCAAATTTCACCGGACTAAACAAACAAGGCCTCACCAATACCACCGCAGCACCCGAACCAGGGCCACGTTTAGTTGGTCACCAAGTTGACGCCGACTGATTTCGTGTTGCACTGTAGCTACAGTAACTTGTCCGTTTTTATTTGATAATAATTATCCAAACATTGACTAATTAGGCTCAAAACGTTCGTCTCGTAAAGTACAACCAAACTGTGCAATTAGTTTTTTATTTCGTCAACATTTAGTACTCTATGCATGTACCATAAATTTGATATGACAGAAAATCTTCTTTTTGCATAGTATCAAAGTTGGTATTTTGAATGAACTAACCAGGCCCCAGAAATTCTAGCTTCAACGGCTCCGGCTCCCGCGAGCTACAGCAGAGCTACAGTGTAGCTACAGCGCGAGAGCCGAATCTGGCGGAGCCCGGCCAAACGGCCCCACAGTGTCGGTGTCTACTAGAAGCAGGATCGGAGCGCGTTAATGACGGGTGTCAGTGGCACGAGCCGGTGCAGTTGGGGAGACAAGACGACGCGCGCGCGACGGCGACGACGGCCGCGTGATGACTGGCCAGTGAGCTAGCTACTCCTAGTACAGACCAAGCAGTGGCCTCCCGTGCCCGATGCGGTTGGCTGGGTACTTCAGTACTTGCTTGGGTTGGCTCGCGGTTGCACCGGCCGGCCGGCCGGCTCGTGTTTGGGGCTCGCCTCGCCTCATTGTGTGTGTGTGTGTGATCTTTATGTTGACGTGGACGCAGGGACGGAACTGTTTCCCAACCTTTCGGCGTTAGAGGGCAGGCCAAATTGGTTAGCACTTGACGCCGGTCGCCGGCCGGCCATGTCGATCAAATCGATAGCGAGAGACGAGAGAGAAGCCCCCCAGCCCCCAGGCATAGCAATCAGTACCATGTCGCTGGTATTCGGTTATGATCCGATGGAGATATGGGGATTTGATGGCGAAAGCTCAGTTTTGGAGCTTGCTCCGGGTGACGCTTCACCCACCACCACCATCTATATTTGGCAAAGATTCCTCGTGCGTTTGGCCGCCGGTTTATTACAGTTTGTACATAGGTTAGTCTTTAGGTTCTACTCCGTAGTATCTAGTCTTATCGTCTGTGATGCTCTCGCTATAGCTACAAGGATATTAGAGTATATTTACGGCCTGTTTTTCATAGCTTCACCATCATCTTTATGATTTGTTTGAAGTCTTTTTTTTTACCAAACAGATTTTTTTTTGCAAATAGCTTCGAAGCTATTTCACAACAATGAAGCTCCTTAAACATGCTCACAAAATCTCACCAATGAAGCTCCTTAAACATGCTCTCGCATAGGAATGGTATGGATGAAGCTGAAAACCCTCACACTTGTGGGCTCTATGTGAGATTTTGTGAGAGCATATTTTAATAAAATTTGCACGCAGAGCTGTTTTACCAAACGGTTCATTAAAACAACTTTAGTAGTTAACATTGTAATCTAGTATTGTCATATATATCTAGAGAGATGTCTTGCTCTCAAGTCACTGTACTCTATAGTCTATATATACCATTCAACAGGCTTAATGCAATACATCCATACATTATATGCAATTCTTTCTGCTTATAGTATTGAAGAAATACATATATGCATGGCAAAATATCCTGCCTTATTTAGCAATTGCAATATTTTAACAATTTATATTAGAGAAATGTGGCAAACCCAAGTGAGGAATACGGGTATAGATGATGTTATACCGTGATGATGATCCGAAATACATGTTCAACTCGGGTGACGAATGAAAGGCATTTGGATCTTTGACTATATAGTACGTGGAATTGTTTTCTTTCTCCTCTGGCTTGCCTTTGATGATTCGATCCTATTCTTCTTTCTTCTTCGGTGTGACGCACTCAAACCATAAAAAAAACAACAAAACTTACTTCTCTAAGGCCCTGTTCGTTTCGCTGAAAAGTCAGGCTGAAAAGTACTGTTTGCTAATTTATTGTGATAGAAAAACACTGTACCATGACTGATAAGTTAAGCCTCCTGCCCCTCAACCACCTCTCCTACAGCCCTGAGACGTTGTAAACCTAAAATCTACATATTTGTTTGGCGACATAAAACCTTTCCTTGGATCTTTGAATCCAGAGTCGGTGGCTCGACGAACGTTCATAACTGTTTTCACATGGTTGTCTAAAGGATTCATCCATTTTAGGTTTTTGAAGTATAAGACGTTTATATAGATAAAGTTAAAATGTGAACATTGAACTATTCCATCAAGTAGAGAACAAAATGACTAGGCTAGACTTAGCTTCTAGTAGGGACTTATTTAAGTCCTTACCTTTGGACCCATTAGCCATATAAAACAAAAGACACAAAACTACAAACCGCTTACACTTTTTTTAATTTAGTCGGCAATGGATCATATAAGACCAAAGACACAAAACTACAAATTGACTTAACACTCGTTCCACTTTAGTCAACAGTTGCAAAGCCAATGGATAAAATCCTCAATTTGTTCTTCCTCCTAACCTTAGTACATTTTGATCTTCTCTCTCCACCATGCGCCGTTGCATGCCTTTGTATTCCTCTATTTCTGATAAAAATCACTCTGCCGGATTCGCTTATACATTAACCTTGTTGTATTGCAATTTTGTTGTCTCGCCTGCTGCTGTAATAACACCAACCATCTTCTACCACCTTGGCAAGTGGCACTCTAGTTCCCTCCCTACCATGCTAATCGTGTGTGGCCACCGCAGATTGGCATATCACCCAAATGATTCTTTCTAAGGGCTGGGCACTGATTCATTCAGCTCCTTGCTACATTGCGCCGATGAGCTAGAGCACATGAAGAAAAGATAATGGCTTATTCTACTTCATGTTGAGAAGAGGATAAAGACGGTCCTTCACTACATCATAGCTACAGTGCACTGAGAAGGTGAAGCCGGAGCTGGATGAAGCTCCACCAAATGGAGCTCAAGAACACGTTGTAAGCCCTTCCTCGAGTGGACTAGTGGCTGCGTAAGCATCGACTATATGTCCCTAATCAACTCCTTTTTACGCTGTTGATCCTAGGAAAAAGTTTAAACCCAAACAACCAGATAAAGCAAAAGTAGTGGGTTGGTGATAGCCTAGTATGTCAGGATAAGACAGGCATAGGGTCTATTTGTTTGAGTTGCAGCTTTTGGGCTTTTGATTCGAAATGTAGTTTTCTGGCTTTCGACTATTGCTATTGGTTTTCTTAATAAATATTTAACTTCTCAGTACACAAAAAGCCAAAAGAGTCGTTCTCAGTGTGCTTTTCTGCTTTTAGTTTATTGCATCAGAAGCCAGATTTCTAGTTTTTCAAAAGCTAGCCCAATAAATATGTTGTTTGTTTCAACTTCTATCTTCTATGTGACAGAAGCCAGATAAAAATCTGAAACAAACATGCCTAATGCTTTTTAGTTTTTCTTTCATACTTAGAAAGGTCCCAATATATATAAACCAAATGTGAAATGTCAATGCTCCTTCCGTTCAAAATATTAAGGCGCATTTTATTTCACAAAAATCAAACTTCCGTCTATTTTGACTAACAATTCATCAAATTATAAGTATGTTCATGTAATAAAAGTTATATACTACTGGATTCATATTTGACTACTTTCACTGTATTGGTTTTATACCTATTATATTAATGATATAGGAGCATTATGCAAGGAAACAAAGGCTAAAATTTAACTTACAATTTGGAATAGAGAGAATATTACACGGGGAAAGA